AAAAAAAGGCGTGGCTGACTGATTTTTAACCCCTAAGAGATTGCACAACAAATATTTACATCCGTTCCAATAATATAGTGTATAAAATATTTAATTTTAATTTAACCAAACGCAAGGAAAATCAATATCGATGCGCTCTTTGTCTTCTTAGCTTCCGACACCCAAAGAGATTGCAGAAAATGCGAATTTTCCGGAAACTCAGAAATTGGCACCCTTCAGAAGAAAATAAACTATGCGTGAATGGATTAGCACAACGTATTTGTGCGCGCTACTGAGCGAGTTTTCTATACACATTATGCAGTAGAATGTTATTCTTATGCTAATAGGCAATCTCATTATTTTTTTCTAAATGACTTCTTAAGTAGGACGTCCTGGTACATAGGACATACGTCTTATTTACAAAAGGTCTATTAGCTCGTAGTCCACTCGACCTCGAGGTCTAATTGTTAATTAGAGTCGTTCTCATTAACCCTCGGAACAAAGTGTAATAGGAAAGGAGAGACAAAGTGTATGAGGGTGTAATAGTAGGTTAAATACTCTGCTCACCAGACAAAATTTTAAATTCATATTTATTAAGGACACAACTGCAAAATTACAATTTCCGCAATGTATTAGTTCCTAAGTTACTACACTGCGATTTTCCACGAGCGTTGATAGAATTTCTTGACATTTAGAGAGCTTATCTGTTCAAAAGCATTTACAATAGCAAGCATGGGATTTTGAGCAATAAATCCAGGAGTAGAACGTGCGATAGCCTTAGCTTGACCAAATATCATTTCATTGGAATTCAGGTAATACGCATACGCCGGTAATTTAACAAGTGTGATGTTTCTTTGGCGTAGAATCGCACGGAGTCTTTGCTCATTGTGGACGCTAGCGTTGTCGGCAACTAGAAATCCATTTCTTTGTAGCAATGGCAATATTTGGTGTTTGATAGATGCAATTATGATGTCTGGTGTGCAATTCCCAGCAATAGGAATCACTTGTACAACTACTTCAATAAAACCGCAAACACCGAGCACTGAAAATTTCCAAGCAGCACGCGCTTGACTCTTCGGCCTAAAGGATGAGCATGCGACCCCAAAATCTATTCTCCCGTATTCTCTGTTATCGGTTTCGCTAGTGTCGGGAGCTTTCATGAAAACGAATGATCTAGTAGATTAGTATTTTCCTGGTAGCAATGCTGTATTTACATGGGTCAGTCTTACATGGGTATTGTGTTCTTACAATAGGAAAAAATATCTGTGTTACTCGTGGATAAAAGAACAGGGAAAGTGTAATAAAGTGTAGTAAAGAATAAAACAAAACACGAAAATTTCATTTTCCGAGCAAACTTGACATGCTTCAGTCTTTGTGCCAAGCTTTGCTATAATTTCTATCATAGCACATGCAGAACTGTACCATGCAGCATCTAGTACAAGCTTAGCTTCAAATATTTTCAAAACGTTTGACACGTCTTTCGGCCAAAAATACCACAAGATCAATGGCAGGAGGGAGTAACCACCTTGGGTATCTCTTGCGTGCGAACTACATTTTTGAGAAAGCCGAGCAAAGGCTGACCAACAAAAAGTCAAGTCCGCAATTATATTTGGACTCATTAAAAACTGTTTTGTTTTGTTCGCGATGAATAACAATAAAATCTAATTATAAGATAGGAAGCAATGCTGTAATAAGTGAGAAAATGAAGCGTGTATTGCATCATTACATGAATTTATTTTACAGTCAATAAAATTTGCATAAGATAAACCTATTTGCATTTTTTGTATCGCTATGTGAAATCTAGGCTCAGTCTCCAGCCGTCGGGATTTCGTGCGCCCGCGATACTCTCTCCCCTGACGGCTGGGCGCATGGGGTTCAAAACGTGTCGCGCATGTCCGTGACGTTTGTGTGTAATTAGCATATTATGACGTAACGGAAGTAAATTTTTCAGTGAACGGAAGTGAAATATCTGACAACAGCCGTAAAGGTTTTGCTACAAGGCGGGAAATTATGTGAAATGAAAACTTCGCGAAGTAGCGATATAATGTAATAGTTAGCGCTTTAAAAAAGAGAAAGGAATGGAAATTACCCCAAGTAAAACATGTGCAGGGTTTAATAATCCAAATGGATGTATTATCTGCTAGAAAAACGAGCAAAATACACTAGTGGCGCTGTTTGAAAAATAAGAGATTTGCCCGAGCCAGTATAGGAAGAATAACAAGGACATCTTTTCCAAGAACAATCTCTTTAAGAGCCTTTTGCTGTATTTCTCTAAATTCGTCCAAGCTAAACGACTTCAGAGCCTTCAAACAAGCACTTTCAAAGAGAATCTCAAACGACGAATTGTACGCCATTTTGTTACACTGCTGCCTGCTAATTTATTAATGATATGCCCCTCAAAATATCGGGGGCCACTCGCTGATTGGTCAAGACTGACAATAGCGAACCTCATGCGCCCAGCCGTCAGGGGAGAGAGTATCGCGGGCGCACGAAATCCCGACGGCTGGAGACTGAGCCTATGTGAAATCGTTCTAATATTGTATAGAAATGAAAGAAAGACTCTTAGGAATAAATTCGGAAAAACTATTTTCTGATCTCGCTGGGATTCGAACCCACGACCTTCGGATTTGTACTACCGATGCTCTACCAGCTGAGCTACAAGGCCAGACCGGGAGCAGGTCGGGGTGAAATAGATGTTAGGTTGCGGTGATAGAATAATGTAAATACATGAATATGAGGACCGCATGGCACTCTTTGTTTTAGTAAGAACATTTTCATTTTATCTTGATAAGCTTACCTGGCAGGCATTCTACAATTACCGTTCTACAGTTCAGAATATCCCAGGTATGATCAACATTTTAACCTGGCTCGATACTTGGGTTTTGTATAGAAATGCTCCCTCTCAATATTTAAAAATATCTATTGTTTAGCTATATGCAGTACGGAGGAATAGGAATGGTCATTGGACACGAACTTACTCATGGTTTTGACTCAAATGGTACGTAGATCACAATCACTTTTTTTTAAATACCACCGAAGGTTGGCTCTTTCTCACATATATGCTTACAGTGACAAAGTCGTAAAGAGAGTGATATTTGAATCTAGTAATATGTTACTCTATAAGGACTACCAGTATGCTAAGCCTCTTTCACATCAATTGACTATTTTCAGGTCGACAGTATGATAAAAATGGTAATCTATACAACTGGTGGTCCCACTCATCTGATGCTAATTTCAAACAAAAGTCCAAATGCTTTGTCAACCAGTACAATAAATACCAACTCCATGGAATAAATGTAAAGGACATTATTTATATTATTCACTGTTTACATGAGATAGGATGCTTCTAGGTCGGAGAACGATCTTTTGTTTTTTGTTACAGAAAGAGTTAGCCATTCTGCCTACTAACACCCCGTCTCATGCAAGCTTGGACTTTATGTCTAGTGTTCATATAAGTGTCTTATTCGCCGCCAAAAATATGAGTTAAAGTGCAATAGCCCTTTCGCGGTTAGAAAACAATTGCGCTGGGAGCCTGTGGTTTTGCATCGATGGACTTCGATGAATCGCCTTACTGATTGCTATGACAATAGCTATTATAATTGATTGTTCTTGTTTATTGTTTAGGTGAATGGTTCTCTTACAATCAATGAAAACATTGCTGACAACGGCGGTATTAAAATCGCTTACGATGTAAGTCACAGAATCAAACTTTCTTTATAAAAATCAGTTTTTTTACAAGCATGAAATTATGAGGGAAGTTAACTATGTGTCATAATAGTCTCCTTAACGGATATCTGCGCCATCTTGAAAGGTAGCCGTGCCTTTGCACCGAAGCGAGACGACCGTTGAGCGTGCAATGATAGATACCTGTGAATAATTGTCTATAGGTGTGAAAGAAGGTTTCTATCATTGCACGCTTAACGGTTGTCTCGCTTCGATGACAAGGCACGGCTACCTTTCAAGATGGTAACCGTGAAGGAGACATAACTTATGCATATTCAATCTTTGAGCATGGATCCCAATAATCTCAACAAACAGAATTAATTCAAGATGACGATCATAACTTGACCGTAAACAACGAAGATTTAGAATATAAGATGAGTGTGAATTCAACATGAGATGAGACAAGAGTTCGACAAGATACGAAGTCGTGCGAGTTTGCTATCACGCTTTTAATTTCAGATCAAATTGCACTTCACACTTTTCAAAAGACCTTTTCTGAAATAAAAAGTCATGGTGCATTGTGGTCTAGCTTCAGTACAATCAACGCCATATTTGGCAGCATGGGCAAAGATGTTTGTATTGAATCTAGACCACAATGCAATGTTAAAATGCTGTCTCAGAAAAGGCCTATTGTCTAGCGCCCGTAAGTCTATTGGAGCTGTTGAACGGAGAAACCAATGTCAGAGCGTCCGCGAGCATTGGTTCTCACCAATTAGAGCACGCATAAGATTAAATTGCGTCATCAGAGCGTGTGAACTGTGATAACAGACAGACTTCAACCAATCCAAAGGCGCGCGACATATTCAATAAAAACTTAAAATATTTTTTCCTTTATTTTGTTTTTTGTTTTTCAAATTCACACACTAGAGTACAAACACTAGAGTGAGGTCAATGTAACCGTGAAATAAAAAATGTTAATTATTATTTCATACAAGTTTATTTTTACTAACGTGTATTATTAACTGAATAGATAATAGTAGTTTAATTTTATAAAAGGAATGAGTACATCCTTTTGAAGCACATGAAATGAAATAAATGGCACTTTCTATTAACCGTTATAGAGTGAACGCACTTAAACCGTGCAACAACTGTACAAAATCAAGTAGTATTAATTTGTACTAAAAATGGACCTGAAGCAAGACGATATTGAATGCTTCATTTGTATCAATTCAATTTTTTTCATTTTTCATTTTTATCAATTCAATTTTCTTTGCGTACTGCATGCACGATTTACTAAATACAACTAAATAGAACTATTTAGTTTGTACAGTTGCACGGATTTTAAAGTGCGATCACTCTTTATTGAAAAAAACAAACAAAACAAAACCTATAGTATCTCCATACTGGGCCCATAAGTGTAAAGGGGTTTAAAACTATTAGTGTGTATAACATGTGTGTAACATGTATTAAATTTCATAAGTCAAATATCTATTTCATGGGTACATTGACCTCACTCTAAAACTGTGCAACATAAATACCACTAAATACTGCTAAATTATGCAAATTCTATTGTTTTCTATTGTTTAATTAGCACTATTTTGTACTAAATGGTGGACAGTGTTGCACGCTTTTAGTGTTTGTACTCTATCGATCTTGATAACCTATTATCAAAATATAATTTTTTCAACTACAGGCTTACCAGAGATGGGCTAGTAGGAACGGGACCGAAAAAATACTCCCTGGTTTAGAATTGACCCCTGATCAACTATTCTTCATCAGCTTTGCACAGGTAAACTATTCAAACATATTTAATTGGACCGAGGGAAACTGTTTGTTTTGCCACAAAAGCATCAATTCTTTATGGTTAATGTAATGATTAGCCAGGGTTTTTAGAACGATCTCACATAACCGGATAAAAAATGCTAATGAGGATCAATTTATGCTAATACACATTACACGATGAGAAAACCTTGTATCAAATTGTTGTCCTTGTTTGCAAAAACTAGACACAAAAATGTTTTGATTTTTTTTCGCCTTACGAAGTGTTTTTCCTTAGTGTGCACGTTGGAATGTTTGTAAAAGTAAACAAAAATGTTTTATTTAGAAAGTTAAACGAGACTTACCTGGAAGTTGAAGTTTGACTGAGATTCTGTGAAGTCATCATGAAATATAAGGAATCACATGAGATAGCACTAACCATACCCATAATTCAATTTTTCAAAGTGGACGCGAACAAATACAATAGGATGGTCATAATTCATTGCATAATTATATAATTTACAATGGGTGGGTGATTTAATCAGTACATGATTATAAAGGGTAGGGCATGTGATTCCTTATACTTCATGATGACTTCACAGAATCTCAGTCAAACTTCAACTTCCAGGTAAGTCTCGTTTAACTTTCTAATTCTGTTACGTCATCATTCCGTTAAGGAATCCCATGAGAGTTTTAGAGCTGTATTTGTGAGCAAACCACAACATACATTAAGCAAAGTCTTTAATGTTGAGACAAAATGCTTAGAGCTACTTCACCTAAATCATAAGTAGGCTTGTTGTAAAATTTTGCAAAAGTTGAACTAGATGACCAGCCTGTAGTCCTACATATAGTTTGCAATAAGACTCCTTTCCTATTTGCAGTGCTGGTTGCACTGGCTCTAGTGCTGTGAGGTGTAAATCTGTTGAGATCTATGCCTGCAGCCCCTAAGGAGGTCTTAATCCAACGTGCAATGGTACTCTTACTRACTTGGCAATGAGGCCTAACAAAACTAACAAATAAACGAGTACAGTCTCCCCTTAAAGGTTTTGTACGTTCTAAATAGTCTTCAATAACTGTAACAACACAAAGTCTTCTGTTTTCTGGGTATGCTGAAAATTCCAACTCATGAATGTGTTTCCCAGGTTTGGTGTGTTTTAATATGTCTCCAATAGTAAATTTGACAATAGAAGATTTAAGTTCCATGTTACGAATGTCCAACAAGTGAATAGMTTGTTCTCTTTGAGTTGAAAGAATTGCAATCAGCGATGTTAGTTTGTATGTTAACTTCTTTAGAGATATTTTCTTTAGTGGCTCTAGTGTTTTGAGATATTCAAGTAATATTGAAGGGTCCCAAGTGACAGTGTTCCTTGGTAAAGCTGGTCGCTGCTGGAAAACACCTTTAAGGAACTGCTTTACTAAGGGAAGTTCTCCAAATGTTATTTCCCCAGGCATCACCAGAATCTGTGACAAAGCTGAACGTGCTGTATTGACAGCACTATAACCGATGCCTTGTTCATACAGATATGTTAGAAACTCTAAAGCTTGACATTGATTGGCTCTAAGGGGATCAATGTTCCTTTCACAGCAATACTGAATCCATCTTGACAGGTAAACTGAATACTGTTTTCTGGTGCCTTCTCTCCATGACTGCAAGATGATATTTGCAGGGCCTTGAGAAATTCCTTTGATTCTGATGAGGGAATCCCTGATAAGTAGCAAGCTAGCATCCTCATTTTGTTGTGTAATGGGTGAGCCGTGGCTTTGTCGGTAGGCAGTATGAGTGTTTTCTTTGACTGAGGTAGTAGGTAAGGTGGCTTGACTAACAGTTTCAACAGAMGAGGGAACCAAACTTGGGTTGTCCATAAGGGAATAATAACAATTCCTTTTGTCTTGTCCTCTTCCATTTTCTTGAGAATTCTGCTAATAAGAGAAAAGGGAGGAAATGCATAAATAAAATGGTTTTCCCATCCCATGGTAAARGCATCTACAGCTGTAGCATCAGGGTCTGGCCTCCAGGAGACATATTGCTGAATTTGATGGTTTAGCCTGGAGGCAAATAAATCTATACTAGGAGTACCCCAACTATTTGAAATTGCATGAAAAATCTTAGGATTAAGCTGCCATTCAAGATCAGATTTTTCCTTTACTCTGCTTTCTTTATCAGCCACTTTGTTATCTTTCCCCGGAATATGGGCTGCTGAAAGCCATATGTTTCTTTCGATACACCAGTGCCATAGCTGTTTTGTGATATTATTACATTGTTCCTTGGTTCCTCCCATTTTATTTATATAAGCTATGGCTGTAGTGTTGTCAATCATGCATCTAATGTGAACATTGAACTGGTTTGTACAGAGRGATTTTAGTGTAAAGAAACAAGCTAGTATCTCTAGATAGTTAATATGATAGTCTTTCTCAGTGTGTGACCATGAACCTCTCGCAGTGATTTCATTGCATACCCCTCCCCAACCAGTCAGGGAAGCATCTGAATATATTGTGACTGATGGTTTATCATGAGTTAGAGGCTTAAATGATGAATGTGCATTTGACACCCACCATCTAATATCAGCTCTAGCTGTATCTGATATATTCATGACAGCATCAAAAATTTCCCTTGTATAAATGATGAATGTGCATTTGACACCCACCATCTAATATCAGCTCTAGCTGTATCTGATATATTCATGACAGCATCAAAAATTTCCCTTGTATAAATGATGAATGTGCATTTGACACCCACCATCTAATATCAGCTCTAGCTGTATCTGATATATTCATGACAGCATCAAAATTTCCCTTGTACACTTTNTCTGAACTGTCGCTCAACTCGTCCGCCTTTCGCTTCACACCGCTAGTGTGATCTTGATCAGCAGTTGAGACTGTTGCTGAATGAGTTTTGCTAATAGCTTGGGTAAGTGATTGAGTCAAGTTAGCAATCATTTGATTCATAGATGATATTGACTCTTGTTGTAGAGCTTTCAGCTCGTTCAGAGCGTAAGCTGGTATATCCTGATTGTTTGACAGCAAGCCAAGAGCCTGTGGCTCGACTTCACTTTGCAAACTCGTGGCCTGTGGCTGAGTCGCAGTAGGAGAAGCCTTAGCTTTCCCCTTTCCTTTTGTGCTCTTTTTCCCTTTAGGGTCAGACTGAGCACCTTTGTGTTCTTTGGCCTTTGAATCTTTCGTCACCGCCGTGCCTCGTGTGCGAGTATTGGCAGTGTTTGCAGTTTCTGACGAATCCCCAGTGGAGATTTCGTCTAACAACTTAAATATATCCGTTCCAGAGCTTGACTGTTCTGTCATCTTCTTAAAACGCTTCGATGTGTCCAAATGAAGAAGATGGAAACGGATTTTTAAAATTGTTTTTGAGCAGTGCTCAAAATCACATCCACCATTAAGTAGGGTAATTGAATTATGGGTATAAATTATGGGTATGGTTAGTGCTATCTCATGGGATTTCTTAACGGAATGATGACGTAACAGAATTGTCAGTTTTGGCTGCTTATGTTGTCGTTTTATTCATTTTTTTAAAAAAAGCTAAAGAGAGTTAACGTCAGCGAGCTTGAGCGCATATTTGTCTTAGAAATGCTACCAAACGTGCAATGGGAATGACTGGGATAGCGTTGTTGCGCTGTGCAAGGCAACGATAGTCAACAGTGGCCTCCCAGATCGAGTTGTTCAGTTTTACTTTGAGAGTGATAATGAGCAATTAATCAGGAGACTGAAGGGGATAATCAAAAAGACCATATCTGATCCAGTACACACCACAGCACAGTGCAAATCAATTGTGACAGAACTACCAGAGCCAGAAGATAATTCAAAACAAGAGTTAGAAATGAAATATAAAAGCAAGAAGACGGCTAAAGAGAGGAGAATAGATGCCGTGAAGAAAAATCTTGAGTGTGATTTTGAATGTTTGTTATGATTTAATTGTTATTTAAAACATATCTGTACGTCAAATAAGTAAAGCGTTCATCAATATCCTCGTTGTTCCACGTGTAAAATCGTGTAATGTGTATTAGCATAAATTGATCCTCAGCATTTTTTATCCGGTTATGTGAAATCGTTCTATTCTTCTGAATGCCATATTACTGTGTTTTAAGTGTTAATAAGGACAAAGTTTATAAGAAATAGAGGTTTTTTTTATGTGTGAATATTATTTGGGCGGAAACAATAAAATTGTGTAACCTGATATACTCACTCCTTCATTCTTTCATTATTTCGTTCATACTTTATTAAACAGGAATGGTGTGGTGTTTTTAACATAATCGGAGCATCCTTTCAGCTTAAGGATGTACATTCTCCAGGGAGGTTCAGGTTTGTCGAAACATTTTATAGGCTAATACATTTCTGAAGCTGATATAACGACCATTTTCTAAGGCACATCGCCTCTTTCCTCTAGAGTTCTCAAAGCCACGTATTTACCAAATTTTGTCTTGCAGAGTGATTGGCTCTCTTTCAAACTTCCCAAAGTTCTCCGAGGCGTTCAAGTGTCCTACCAATAGTCCATTGAACCCAGAAAAGAAATGTTCGGTCTGGTGAACTGGACGTCAAGCCACGGAAGATTACTGAGTGTAGAAGTTTAGATACCTTGCCGTTTTTTTGTAGAAAACACATGGAGTGGTTTAATAGAGTGAGCATTGCTAAGAGTAAGCTCTTTTTGACGTACAAAATATTTATATTTCCGTATTTGATAGCTTGGCTTATTTTTTTTTGCACAATAGTTATTTTAAGCCCTTTTACGCGGCCTTTTATATATACTTTATGTATCAATCCAGGTTTTGATTCACGTTYACTGCGAACGGCAACTTTCAAACCAATCACTGATTTTCTGTATAAACGCTTTGTTGTTTTGCGTTTGTATACAAATTAGATCATTTCCATATGAGCGCATTTCTATTCCTTTCTAATCGATTTAACGTTTGTTTGAAATATTTAAAACAAAGCTTTATTGAAATTGCATTTCAATTGGTTCAAAATCGATTYGTGGTATGTGAGAACATCGCGCAAAAGTACGCGGATGCAGGGCCAATTTGAGGGTTTGCGTTTGCGGTAAACGTAAATTTGAATATCAACAGAACTTTTGTAGTTTACGTAGCCATTTCGAATGCATGCTTTTTTTTAGACATTTGCTCAGGTTGTTGCTTTTTTTCTGGCAAATTTCACATTTTTATAGTTATTTGAATAAAAAGACAGCATCATTGTTGTAGACCATGTATTGTCTAATTAATTAGCTAATCAAATCATTATGTCGTTAATCGGCCACGTAGCAATCAGTCAGGCATTCATTACAGTGTCCAGGTCGACTTTATACAGCGACTTTATTTTATAAAAATAATCAAGTACCAAGTACCAAGTACCAAAGTACCAAGGTTCGATCCCGACTCGAGCACTTCTGAAAAAAACTTTTTTTCTTTCTTTCTTTTTTTTTAAACTGAAATATACTAGGTGTTCTAGTCATGTTAGATTTTTATCGTAGCAATTTGTTTTATTAATATTTAATAGCCGCGTTTGTTAGATTTTAGAAACAAGATGATACTCGAACAGCGGCGACGAATAGAGGATCGCGGGTTCGAATCTCGTCTTCAGCACTTTTTTTCTTTCTTTTTAAATACTTGATATTTTGTAGATTTTGTTTAATAATTATTTTCGAACCATTACTTTGATTTTGCACAGAATAATGCGAATGCAATCCGAATGCTAAATTTTCGCTGCAATGATAAAAATATAAAAAAAAAGAAAAAAAAAAGAATGAAAAGAAAAAAACAATTTTTTTTCGAAAAGATCAAAAAATATATATTAGCGTAACCTGGACACGATATATTCCACGAAGTGGTTCTTGCATAGGCCGCCAAACCATTGCTTGAGAGAGAGAAAACGAATGCGCCGAATGCAGAGGAGGGAACAGTAGTACCCCACAATGCATTGCGTTTCAGACTATATTATCGGTTTTTATATGACGTCATCACTTGTTTTTGGTCTTGGCCGAGTGAAGATCAATGGCGGGAAACTTTGACCCGTTCGCCAATTTCATCTCTAGAATTTCGATTATAGAGATGAAAATCTCAAAGATTCTTCTTTTTTATATATTCATTGTATAAGTAAGAACAATTTTCAAGTATCGACAAAAAGAATTGCTTTTTTAGACCTTATTTGTCGACAAGTGGACATCAGTTTTGTAGATAAGTTAAATCGATAAGGAAATTGTCGGAGAGTTGAGTTGCTTTGATTCCTCTCGCTGTGGACGGTCAAAAGGTTGAAAGCTGTTTGATAAAATAAGAAGTCCTACTTTATAGTCCGTGTTTTTATTTCGTCAGATTTAGAGGTTAGTAAAAACTTGTTTTCATTGTTTGAAATTACTTGAAATGAGCTTAGAACTAGATTAGAACTGAAGTCCGGCTTTGATGCTAGAAAAACCGAAGTTGTTGTTTTGCATTGAAAGAAATCATTTTATAAATAAACAGTTCTTACTTTGATCATTAGTTGGTATAAGTTGTTTTCTGTTTTATTGTAGTATTTATGGGTAGTGTTTTCAGTTTCATTGCTAATGCGCGATTTGTAAACTC